CACGTTCTCCACTGTTCTTGTTTGCCAGTTGCGCATCTCAGTTTAAGGTGAGGTTGGATGGTGTTGGCTGTTGTCTATCATTGATCAGGTAGTATATAGTCAGTGGTACTAGCTCTTGCCCAGGGAGTGAGCTGAAATGGGCATAATTGTGGCTGGGCTTTATGAGCAAGGTTGCTGTCTCCTGTTGGATGGGAAAGAGAAAACCCATCCTCCCCCACATACACTCAAGAAAAAAAAAGAGAGTAAACAAAAATGGAACCAACAATTAAAGGAGAAAATAAGAGAACATAGAAATATAAGACTGATAGCAAGTAGGAAAAAACAGTATAATTAAAAGACAAAAGAGGAACATGGAAGTGGAGCTACAGAAAAGGAAGAAAAAGAAAAAAAAAAAACACCAGTAAAATTAGGGAAAGGGAAGATGAAAGGAGAAATAGTAGATCAAAAAAAGAGAGAGATCAAGAGAGGAAAAAGGAGAAATGAGAAACAAGAAAAAAAGGACAACAGCGGAGATAGAAAGGATTAAACTCAAAGGAATAGAAAGAAAAGGAGGACAAGAAAGAATAAACCAACAAAAACAATTTAGTAACAAAAGTAAAAAAGAAAACAAAATAACTGTTGGACCCAGACAGGAGAAAACTCTAGGAGGCTCCTGGAAGCTAAGCATTTTAAGATGTGGGTATGGGAGGGCTGTGACTGCAGAATTCCTATTGGTCTCCTTATCTTGGTTCAGGACACTCAGTTCAGAAGTAGTTTTGGGAGGTGCTTGATAGAATTAGTTTCAGTGTCAGTTAGGACCACAGGGCAGCTGGGAATAGGGTGACTGGTTAAATGCTGTCTGGTGGCTCTGTGGGTTTTGTAGGTCTGGAACTGAGCCTGCCTGAATCCAGGCACCAAAGCAGCACAACTGCCCCTGCCTCAAATTGGCATGGCTCCCACCATGTGGCTCCGAACTCCTGGAGAACAGGGTTTGAGCTCTGGGAGTCTCCTCTTGCTATCTGTGCTCAACTTTTCCCAGCATGCACTCAGCCCAACTCTCTAATCTGTGCTCAACTTTTCCCAGCATGCACTCAGCCCAACTCTCTAATCTTCCCTCTGAAGTTCAAGGTTCCATGATTTTCATCTGTGTTTCATTTGGTCTGTCGTGTATTTATTGTAGAGAGTCTATGTAGTTCGTCCAGATTTTTGTTTTCTTTACATTGAGCTGTGATCCGTACTAAAGGCTATGGTTTTTGATCTTCATCATTAAGTATTTTAAGTCCTCTTTGCTTCCAGGAAGCAAGGTGGTATCATATATATATATCATAGGCTGTTAATGTCACGTTCTTCTTCATATAATCCAGTTTCTTTGATTATTTGCTCACCATATGGATTAAGTATGGTGAAATGATACAATCCTTGTGCACACCTTTCCTGATTTTAAACCACTCAGTATCCCCTTGTTCTGTTCTAACAGCTGCTGCTTGTTCTATGTACAGGTTCCTCATGAGCACAACTGAGTGTTCTAGAATACCCCATTTACATAGTTAATAAAGCACAAGTCAGCATCTTTCTGGTATACTCTAATTTCAGCCAAGATTCAGCTGATGTAAGCAATGATATCCCCTTATTCCAAGCCCTCTTCTGAATCTGGCTTAAATTTCTGTCCACATACTAATACAATTGCTTTTTAACTATCTTCATCAAAATTTTACTTGCATGTGATATTAATGATTTTCACATTCCATTGGGTCACCTTTCTTTGGAATGAGCACAAATATGGATCTCTCCCAACTAGTTTTCCAGGTGGCTCGCGTCTAAATTTCTTGGCATAGGTGAGCCCTTCCATCAGTGCATCAGTTTGTTGAAACATTTCCATTTGTATTCAATCAAAGTTAAAACTAATAACTTTTGTATTTGAGCACTTTCATGCATCCAGGCAGTCTGTGTGATCTTGCTCTGGTGCGTGTAGAAAGAACAGAAATGAAAAGTAATTACTTAGAGCACATCACAAACCAGTTTTTACCAGTGAAACCAAGTAAAGTACAGGTGTAGTTTTTGTGTAATACCATAAAAAAAGATTAAGGTGTGTGATTTGGAATTTGGAGCTGATGCTATATTGCTGTTGTGTGCATTGTTGCAGTCACTGTGTCGATCCATTTTGTTCACTGACCCTCTACTTTACCAAGCTTGATGTCCTCCTTCAGGTCTACTCCCTCCTGATAATGTGAGACAGTCTCCTGTTCCTCATTTCTAAGGATGTTGTAGTAAAGTTCTATAAAAGATGAGTGTCAAATGTTTGGAAAGGCACAGTTTCAGTGCTTGCTGTGAAACTATTTTCCGTAGATAGGCCTGTGTTCTAACCACCAACCTTTCAGCTAGTAGACAAGTACAAACCATTTTTGCCAACCAGGTGCCTTTATAATTGATGGACTTTTAAGCTGTGTCTCGTTTTTCCCTATTCTCTAAATAGTGAAATGGGCATCCTTTTAAATTTGTCTCTACTGTGCAAATATTGCCTTAGGGACATGTGAGTTGAGAAACATGGAATTCAGATTGGATATGGGTGAAGTTCTGGACCAACTCCCTTGGGAGTAGGTGTTCTACTCTAGATCTGTCCTTGAGGAACCTCCAACAGGATGATCAGGATGTCTGCAGTTTGCATTCTAGGAGTAATAGCCAAAAGAACAGAATGATTTTAGCTTCAATAGTTTACTTCTTCCAAGTGTTAGATGGGTCCTCATAGTAACTCTTGATGACTAGGGATCAAACAGGGCTAGCAGTAGAGGTGAGGGTTTGACAGATTCGGGTCTATTTTGGGGTAGAATTATATGGACCTGATCTGTGGCTTGTTAAGTGTGGGGGTTTTTCCATCATTGGATGCATTCAAGCAGAGCTACTATGAACAAGCCGTACACAAAGCAAGTTGAATTCTTAAGAATCATTCCAGTTTTGTTTGCTAGCAACAATCCAGATGGGGACCATGAGGCAACAAGATTGGAATGACACTAACTATGGGCTAGGGACATGGACAGAGAGAAGGTCAGTGTAGTGGGACTGAGACTGGATGCATCCTGAGGTATAATTCTGGTAAGCCTAGATTGCTGAGGCAAATTCAGAGATATGACATTGTGTGCATTTCTGGTGCAGGTATGGGTCAGAGGGGTCACAGAGCTAGTGAGTGGTTTGAGGATAATTGTTAGGGTTGCTATAGGAGGCAGGACTATCAGGGGAGTCACCATGGTGAGCCATGCTTGACAATAGATGAGATGGATGAGTTGGAGAAGCTCAATGCTGATTGATTGTGCATGCAAAGGAACAAGTTCATTTGAAATGAGATGGGATGGGAGTCTTTGATTCATTTAGCATGTATTTATTGTCTAGGTGCTTGGGATAGTTGTTTTTAAGTGCCGTCAAGTTGATTCCAACTGAGAACAACTATGTCTAGATTTCCGAGGAGTGCCTGGTGAGTGTGAACTACCAATCTTGTGGTTAGCAGTCCAGTGCTTGTTTGACAGCACCATGCCAGGACTCCTGTGTATTTATGTTGTTATTGTTATTAAGTGCTATCGAGTTGGTTCTGACTCAGCAACCTTGTATAGGGTTTCCGAGGAGTGGCTGGTAAGTTTGAACTGGTTCAAACTGACCTTGCAATCCAGTGCTTATTATGTTAGATAGTAATAAATATTAAAGAGAAAAAATCATTAGGAAATGATTGTGTGACAGACATGTCTATAGCAGTAGTGTTGTCATTGTAGAGCAGCCGGGAATATAATGGAGATGATTAGAGGTGGAGGAACTGAGGGAGCAACAAGCCATGTGGATAATCTGGGAAGGGAATATTGCAGCTACTGCTAAAATTTAGGGATCGAAGAAAACTTGTTTCGTTTAAGGAAGAGCAAGCAAGGAAACCAGTATGGCCAGAATGGAGTAAACAAGAGAAGGTATTAGGAGACCAGGTTCAAGAAATCTAGAGCTTTCAGGGCCTTGTCATTCATGGTCGAATTTTTTTTTTTTCCTAAGAGTAGTGGAATATGAGCAGGTTTTGGTAGAGTTTTGACATGTTTTGCTGTATGTTTTAATAGGAACACCCTGGTTGCTGTATTAAGGATAACTTGTTGAGATGGGGATGGTGTGAAATAGGGAAACCAAGCTAACGCTCCTAACCAGGTGGGAGATGGCGGTGGAAATAGTGAGAATATGTTGTTGTTAACTGCTGTCGAATCAGCTCAGACCCATAGCCACCCTGTATAGGGTTTCTGAGGAGCAGCTAGTGAGTTTGAACCACCAACCTTGCAGTTCAAATGGACCTTATGGTCAAGCACTTAACCTACAGTGCCACACCAGTAGCTTATTAAAGACTAGGCGAACTAGGGATCCTAATTCTACCTCAAGATGTAGGGTGAGTGGGAAATCATTGGAGGAAATAACTTTTCCGACATACTATCTGGGGCATTTGGAATCCTGGTGTGGTGCTATATGATAAATACTGGACTTCTGACCACAAGATTGGTGGGTTTAACCCCACCAATTGTTCCTTGGAAGCCCTATACAGGGTGACTATTAGTTAGAATCGACTAGATGGCACTTAACAACACCTAAGCAATTGGGACAATGTTGGGATGGAACTTTGGTTAGGGTCTGAGCTGGGACCAGTAAGGGGATCAGAATAAGATTTATTGATCTGTGCAGATCAAGTTTGGTGTTCAGATTTATGGCACATCATTAGAGTTAGGGTCAATTTTAATGTGTTTCATCATATTCTTGGACTGGAGTTGGTTGTAACTACCATCTCCTGTCCCTCTGAGCTTACCTAGGGGGTTGGGGACATATGGAGGCTATTGTAGTGATGATTCTTCCTTGGGTGTCCTAGAAGTGATGGGTGGTCCTAGTTCTGCCTGGGTGAAGGCTCTTAGTTTTCCTATGCTGGGCCCTATGGTCAGGGAAAGGTGGAGAATGGTCCCTAGTGCTTGACTCAGTTCCTTTTTCCCAGATGGCCAACTGCATGACCTTGGTTCAGCTGTCCATTTCCTGTGCTCACCTCATTGACAAAGACATCGGCTCCAAGTCAGATCCACTCTGTGTCCTTTTACAGGATGTGGGAGGGGGCAACTGGACTGAGGTGAGAATCATGGGGGTTGATTGGGTGGACAGCGGCTGTTAAGAGTGGAGGGTTTGAGTAATTACAATGCTTATTGGCCTATGCCTGCAGCTTGGCCGGACCGAGCGAGTCCGGAACTGCTCAAGCCCTGAGTTCTCCAAGACCCTGCAGCTTGAATACCACTTTGAAACAGTCCAGAAGCTCCGCTTTGGCATCTATGACATAGACAACAAGACACCTGAGCTGGGCGATGATGACTTCCTAGGGGGAGCTGAGTGTTCCCTGGGTCAGGTATGTAAGACCAAGGATAGGGAACCTTCAGACCTATGTTCTTTCTGTAAGGATCTTGTTAGACACCTTAGCCTGCTTGGAACTTGGAGGTAGCAAGTAGGACCTAGCCTAACCCTGTGCTAGATCTTGACCCCCTGCCCCTGCTCTGCCCTAGATTGTGTCCAGTCAGACATTGACTCTACCCTTGATGCTGAAGGCTGGGAAACCTGCTGGGCGAGGGACCATCATGGTAAGGAAGAAGCCAATAAGGGTGCAGGTAACGGGTTATATCAATGAGAGATTCCTGAATGATACAGTCTCCTGCTTTCCCAAACCTAGGTCTCAGCTCAGGAGTTGAAGGACAATCGTGTAGTAACCATGGAAGTAGAGGCCAGAAACCTAGATAAAAAGGTGTGCCTGGAAGGGAGGCCCTAGGGAACCAATAATAAGGAGCAGGGATGATATGTGTGTGGGAGGAATTGGGACAGAGGGTTATATATATATATATGGTCGTTTGTCCCTGAACTTTGTAACTGAAGTCTGTGTGTTATTGGCAGGACTTTCTAGGAAAATCGGACCCATTCCTGGAGTTCTTCCGCCATGGTGACGGGAAGTGGCATCTGACATACAGATCTGAGGTGTGAAACGCCTGGGATTGGATGGGGTTTGATAGGAGAGAATCCTTCTGGGGCCTGGAACCCAGGTTTGAAACAGGGGTAAAGGAACTGCAAGTGAGTAGGAAAGGATGGAAATTCCCCATGAACCAGACCAGAGCTCACTGGAGACCTTGCTCTCCAGGTAATTAAGAACAACCTGAACCCTACGTGGAAGCGTTTCTCAGTCCCCCTTCAGCACTTCTGTGGGGGAGACCCCAGTACACCCATCCAGGTAAGGAGCTTACCTCACTAGTGGACTGAACAGGGTTACAAAGCCTGGGGAGGGCTTCCTTACCTACCTCCTGTGAACACACATCCCTTTCCCCCAGGTGCGATGCTCAGACTATGACAGTGATGGCTCACATGACCTCATTGGCAGTTTCCACACTAGCCTGACCCAGCTCCAGTCAGTCCCAGTGAGTAGTGCTGACCGTGCTTGGGAGTGTCTCGGTGGGCTGAGAGAACTGCAGCCCCAGAGAGGATGAGGGGAAGGGAACTCTTTCTTGACTGATGCTCTGGAACTTTCTTACCCTAATATTTCTTTACTCACCAGGCCAACTTTGAATGCATCCACCCTGAGAAGCAGCAGAAGAAGAAGAGCTATAAGAACTCTGGAACTATCTGTATCAAGACTTGCCAGGTGAAACCATAACTCCTGTGACCCATGTTCTGACCCCTGAGATCCATGAACCCAACTCCTAGCACCCCAGCCATGGCCCTGCTTGTATCTGCAGGTTGAAAGAGAATATTCCTTCTTGGATTATGTGATGGGAGGCTGTCAGATCAACTTCACTGTAAGTTTGCCCTACAAGGGATAAGAGGGCAGGTCTGGTAAGATTAAGGTTACCTTCAGTACCCCTCCTTATCTCCTTTCAGGTAGGTGTGGACTTCACTGGCTCAAATGGAGACCCCTCCTCACCTGATTCCCTGTACTACCTGAGCCCAACAGGTGTCAATGAGTACCTTACAGCACTGTGGAGTGTGGGCAGTGTGGTTCAGGACTATGACTCGTGAGTAACATTTTCTGTCTCATCCCCAGCCTCTGGGCTCATAGTCCCCTCACTGCCTCCTTCCCAATTCACTGTTCTCCTACAGGGACAAGCTATTCCCGGCGTTTGGATTTGGGGCCCAGGTGCCCCCTGACTGGCAGGTGAGCTTTCCTGTCCTCCTTCCTACTCTTGTTTTCAGTTCCAAGGTTCTGATTTTGGGGGCTGCATCTGCTTGCTGCCTAGCAATCAGATTCATGTGGAGATGTAGGGATGCAAGCCTGCAGGCATGTGCTTCATACTAATTATCTCCTGTAAGATGCTCACTATATGCCCTAGTGCCCCTTTTCTTGACATAAAGGACATCAAGAAGTAAGAACCTCATTTTATTCTCACCCTCAGGTGTCCCATGAATTTGCCTTGAACTTCAATCCTAGTAACCCCTATTGTGCAGGTAAGTCCGAGAAGCAGAACTATACATAACCAGAGGGTGCCCATGCCTAGGCTGGCAGGGAAGAGGTGCTGGGCTTTCGCACCACATTTTGTTTAGTCTTCTGTTGATAGACATTTCAGCTGTTCCCACTTTTTGGTTTGTTGTGCTTGTAAATGGTTCTGCTTGTGTTCCTTTTTTTTTTTTTTTAATTTAAGGTTTTCATTGTGGATTGAGTGAAAGTTTTCAGGGCACATCATCAGTTTCACATTCAACCATTCATATAACTTGTTTCATTACATTGATTATAATCCCCTCCATATATTATCAGTTAAAAGTATTTAGCTCTATCCACTTTAGCTTTTTTTAAAAACACACAAACAAAAACCCACTCAGGCATATATAATAATTTCCATCTCCAAAGGGCACATTCTGCAAGTCTGCTCCTGGTCACCAGTTTTTAGTCCTTCTCTTCTTAGTTGATGAAGAGGTGCTGGGCTTTTGTGCCACCAAGTCAGTTTCGACTCATAGTGAACCTGTATAGGGTTTCCGAGGCTGTAAATCTGAGAGCAGAAAGCCTCATCTTTCTCCCATGGAGTGACTGGTAGATTCAAACTGCTGACCTGAGGTTAGCAGCCCAGCTCATAGTTCCCTTCCCCTGAAATGTTCAAAACAAGTTGCAAAGAATAAGTCCTGATCCAAAATTCACCTCTGTGGCCCCACAAGCCATGTATACATCATCATTGTTCACATAACCCTTCATCCTTGGATACTGTTTTTCCTTAAATCAAGGACGCTCCTACTACATTTTAAAAACCCACTGCCATCGAGTTGATTCTGACTCATAGTGACCCTGTATGGAGTTTCCTAGACTATAAATCTTTACAGGAGCAGAAAGCCTCATCTTTCTCCTGAGAGTGGCTGGTGGGTTTAAACTGTTAATTTTGGAGTTAACAGTTCAGGGCATATTTTACAGTACCACCAGGGTTCCGTTCTCTTACATAACCATAGTGTAATGCATAACATAATTCTCAGAAGCAGAAGATTAACATCAGTACAATACTTTAATCTATAGAATTTCTTCACACTTGGCCAGTTGTCCTAACAGTCTTTTGCAGCAAAAGAAAATCTTGGATCACACATTGTATTCAATTATGTCCTATCTTTTACACTGCAAGAATTCTTTGTCTTACATGATATCAGCATTTTTGAGGAGCCAGTTAATTTCTAGAATATCCCACAATTTTGTTTTTACCCAATGATTTTCTCATGATTAGATTCATATGTTGCAGTTTTCATAGAATGGAAGCTGTGTGTTCTTCTCAGTGCATTCTATCCAAATCATGTTAACTTTGACTACTGGGTTAGGTAATGTCTAACAGGTTTCTCAACTATACAAATACTGGTTTTCCCTTTGCAGTTAGTATCATTGATCCTTGCTTCAATCATTTCTATGATGACTCAAATTATTTTGTAATTCCTCCATTAACATTTATCAGTAGAAGCCTTCCCTTCTCCACTATATTTAATCTTAACTGGACTATAATTCATTATTAAGTAGGTTGTAATCTAATTTACAAAATATCCTGGATTTCGCCAGTGGTGTCCCTCTAATCTGGGTTTTAATTCAGGGTGTGATGAAGGCAAGTATCCTCTCAGTGGAGCCTTTGGAAGGCAGGGTTAAGTACTCTGAGTCATAGAGGTGACTGGTAAAATACACCAGTGTTTTTTCTCTTTCTCTGAAGGCATCCAGGGCATTGTAGATGCCTACCGCCAAGCCCTGCCCCAAGTTCGACTCTATGGCCCTACCAACTTTGCACCGATCATCAACCATGTGGCCAGGTTTGCAGCTCAGGCTGCACATCAAAGGACTGCCTCGGTAAGGGGCATGGGTGGGGGGTGATCTTGATCAAGGGGCTGCTTGTGTCAGTGTGGGAATGAAACTGGAGTGTTTGTTGTCAAAAATTATTTAAAAGATATTTTGGTGGAATGTTCTTTTGTAGAGTGACACTGTGAGCTGTCCACAAGGGATTTGGGAGGCAGGGCTAACCTTAGTATATGAATGGGTTTACCCCTAGCAATACTTCGTGCTGCTGCTGCTGACCGACGGTGCTGTGACCGATGTGGAGGCCACACGTGAGGCTGTGGTGCGTGCTTCGAACCTGCCCATGTCAGTGATCATTGTGGGTGTGGGCAGCGCTGACTTTGAAGCCATGGAGCAGCTGGATGCTGATGGTGGGCCCCTGCGTACATGCTCTGGGGAGGCAGCTGCCCGTGACATAGTGCAGTTTGTGCCCTACCGCCGCTTCCAGAATGTAAGTAAGGTCTCTTTCTGATGTAAGGTGGAGGTATAAGAGATATTTGTCCTTTTACCCCATGAAATGTAGGCTCTGAAAGGCTGTTATCGACCCCTACTGACGTTTCCCCTCTTCTCCTGGCAGGCCCCTCGGGAGGCGTTGGCACAGACTGTGCTTGCAGAAGTGCCTACACAACTAGTCTCCTGCTTTAAGGTCCAAGGTTGGGCCCCATTGAAGCCGCTTCCATCTCCAGCAAAAGACCCTTCACAGGCCCCTCAGGCCTAAGTTTCTAGATGGTGAGCTCTGGACAGTTCTCAGTCATGTGCCTCCAGAGTTCCTGTGGGCCATGGTCTAAACCTGTATACATTCCCCAGTGCCAGCTAGTACTTTTATTTTATACTTTTATACTTATACTTATTCTGCTATTGCTGCTTGATCCCAACTTCTGCCCGTGGCCTGGTGCCTCTCTTTCAATAAAAACCAATGAATACCACTACTTTGCCATTGCTCTCTGTGTGTTTTTAGGTGAGAGGCTGCTATCGGCCATGTTTACTTCAGGGGTTATTGAATGAAGGGTGCTTCTAGCATAAGACCCCTTTTTTATTGGAAACCACTTGACAACTCATAGCGACCCTATAAGACAGAGTAGAACTGCCCGCAGAGGATTTCCCAGGCTGTCAGCTTTACAGAAGCAGATGGCCACATCTTCCTGAGGAGCTGCTGGTGGATTCAAACTGCTGATATTTCCAGTAGCAGCTGAGCACTTAACTACTGTGCCACCAGGGTTCTAGCATAATAGCCCCACTCAAAGAATAGAATTTATTATTGAATTGGGCATTAGTGGTCAGACACTGACACTATTTTTGGAAATACAAAGATTGGATGTAAACCAAACACTGAACATAAACCCAGCACCAAGTGCTAAGCCTCACTGATGGAAGGAGGGCTGAGTTTTACATGAACAAAGGCTGTGCCAAACTTTCTGGGGAAGGGAGAAGAGTAAAGACAGGCTGCCATTGCTCTAAGGACCATCCAGGCAATTCCAACTCATGACAGCCCTTTAGAGGGTTTCTGAGGTGCGGCTGGTGGATTTGAACTGCCAACCTTGTGGTTAGCAGTCCTGTTCTTATCATACAGCTTCACACCAGGACATACTAGATTGAATTTTTAAAATATTTTTTAATAGTTAATTTATATTCATGATATAAAAAAAAAAATCACAGAAATTCCTAAATTTCTATAAAACCTTTTGTATAGGTCTTTTTCCATGCATATTTTATAGTTTATACATATTTTTATTATATAAAAAAATAGTATATTATATATGTTTTTAATTATATAAAAATAGGGTATTTTATAGCATGCTTATTTTTTCAGATTTAAAAAGAAATACATGCTAGTTAGCACAGGTATCAAGTTTTATAAAAATATATAATGGATCAGGTGAAGGCTCCAGTCTGGTATGTCTGACAGATAATTAACAATTTAGGATGGGGGTGACCCTGCATAGGGTTTCCGAGGCTGTAAATCCTTATGGGAACAGAAAGCCTCATCTTTTTCCTGTGGGACTGCTGGTAGTTTCGAACTGCTGACCTTGAGGTTAACAGCCTGACTCATAATCACTATGCTACCAGAGCTCTGCTCCTTAGGGATAGCACTCTTAAAAAAAAAAAAATTTTTTTTTTCTGAAATAGGATATTATATGTACTGTTTAACTTAATATATTTTGAGTGCCTTTACCCAGCAGAACTGGATGAGTAGCTGTAGCTTATTTAGCCTATCCCTTACTGATGAAGTAATGGGTCGCTTACAGTTTTTTTCTATCATAAGTGATACTGTTAGGAGCATTGTAGCACATTTATCTTTGTATACTTTTAGGAGTATATCTAAAGGATTTGTTTCCAGAAGTAGAAATGCTGTTATCAAAAGTATAAATATTCAAATTTTTAATAGATGTTATCAAATCATTCTCCATAACAAAAGTTATGGTCAATTTATACCTTTGATTAATCTGACAGGCCAAAGGGGTGGGAGGATTTTTTTGTTGTTTGAATTTAATTGTAAAGGCCAGGTACTGTTTCACTTAATGTATTATTTGTGAGTTATATTTCTTCTGAATAATAGCTAGTCCTAACTTTTTCCTTTCTTAGTCTTAATACATGTTGACAATATTTCCTCCCAGACTGTCTTTTCAATGATAGTGTCTTTTGGTATACAGATCTCTTAATTAGGAACTTTGAATGTTTTCATGTATGCCAATTTAGCTTGCTTTAAAAAATACAAACCATAAATCATAAATTCCATGACATTAAACATTCTCTTATTCTATGGATTCTGTGGTTTTGTACCATGGTTTATCTATTTGGATACTAAGTTCCCTATTGTTTTTCTGTAAACAACAGTGTACTGAATATAAGTATTACCTTTTGAATATATCTATTTGACCTTATATCGTCTCTCATACTTCAGACATATTGTCAGGAGGGACCAGTCACTGCAGAAGGATATCATGTTTGGTAAGGTGGAGGGTCAGTGAAAAAGAGGAAGACACCCAACGAGATGGATTGGCCAAGTGGCAGCATCGATGAACTCAAGCGTGGCAACAGTAGTGAGGTTGGCCCAGGATCGGACAGTGTTTCATTCTGCTGTGCATAAGGTCGTTATGGGTCGGTACCGACTCCATGGCACCTAACAACAACAGCCACTTCACTAGGAGTCCTGGTGTGGCACTGTAGGTTAAGCATTGGTCTGGTAACTGCAAGGTTGGCTGTTAAGTCCACTAGGTCACTCCTTGAAAATGCTATGCAGGATCCAAACTGACTTTACAGCACTTAACAACAGTGTATCATTTGGATATATTCTCGGATAGAAAATGCTTTTAGGCTTTTGGTTTCTATTGTGAAACTGCTATCTTCAAAGTATAAAATTAATACTTCAAAAATTCAAACACAGATAAATGTTCTACTACCATATATACAAGTTTTAATCAAACCCAATTCAACCCACTGTTACTGAGGCAATTCTGACTCAGCAACCCTGTCGTTGGTAGATGCTACCAAGTCAGCTCTGACTTTTAGAGACCTGAACAGATAGCATCATCTTTCTCTCCAGGAGGGGATGGTGGGTTTGACCTGCTGGCCTTGTGGTTAGCAGTCCCAACACCCAGCCCTCAACACCCTGAGAGCTCCTTTACATGTGTTGTTAAGAGCAGTCAAGTTGGTTCTAGCTCATAGCGACAATGTCTAGGGTTTTTCTGAGCAGCAGCTGATAGGTTTGAACCAGCAACCCTTGCAGTTGTCAGTCCAGTACTTATCGTACAGTGACACACCAGAAGCCCTTATACATGCTTTGTCATGTTGTTAAGTACTGTAGAGTCGGTTCTGACTCAGTAACCATCTAGGCTTTCCAAGGAACATTTGAACTGCCATACTTGCGATTAGCTGTCCATTGCTTAGCCCACACAGCCATACCAGGACTCCTTATACATGTTAGACGCTCTCAATTTCACTTCCTAAATGTTTAATTATCTTTTTTTTTCTTCCAAAACATGAACATACTATGCATCCTAACAAGCCAAGTTGTTGAGCATTCTTTTCCTCATGCTGGTCATTCTTTCATACTCTGCCCAGGTGGACCTCAATTTTTTGATGCTTATCTCTTTCATCTATTCATCCTCCAATTCAACTTTCCAAACCCTTACAGTAAAGCTTTATTGGCTCTGTAAATGAATTTGTTTTCTGGAGTTATCTTCTCTCCCTTGTCAGGCTTCTTGAGGACAAAGATCACACCACCCACTGTGCCTGGCTCAGGTGTCAGCAGAGAGCACAGGGGCTACCAGACCTCTATCAGCTCTGTGACTCAAGATTTTTAGAGGTTCTCAAGTCTCTTCAATTTTGATTGCATGAAAAGTTCCCCCTCCATTTCCTTATGGACCTAGCAAGGGGCTGGGGGACTTTCCAAGAATTTGCGGGTGGGGGCTGAAGAATACAAACTTGACTCCAGGCTGACTGGCAGCTCTTAAAGTGAAAGAGGCTGTGGCCCCTGGAGGCAGTAGGCCTGCGTCCTGCTCTGACTCTGTTCTGCTCGTTGTTTCCTGAGTGGTTTTCCCCTTTGTGGTTCTAAGAAGTTAGAAATGATGTGTATAATGCCCAGCACACTGTCTAGTTCTGTTGTTGTTGTTATATGCCATGGAGTCAGTTCTGACTCATAGCGACCCTGTACAGGGTTTCCGAGGCTGTAAATTTTTATGGGAGCAGAAGGCCTCTCATCTT